GCTCTTTCCGAATCTGACGGTTTTATGCACGTATTCACGGATTTTAGGAGATAAACCGTGATGTTGTATTTAGACTCAAGGTTCTGCGATACTTCCTTGCTGAGAAAAACTGTAATTAGTATGTATCTTTTTAACGAAATTTCAAACAGAATATGCTCTGAAGTAAGAAAAATATTACATAACAATTCACGATCACCAGCTCCATATTATAACTTCGAAGCACGCTCACAAAACCGCTATAGTTGTCAGATAAAGCCGAATTACTCATTTTCTTTAACACAACATCGCGGTTTATCTCCTAAAATCCGTGAATACGTGCATAAAACCGTCAGATTCGGAAAGAGCATAATTTTTTACGTCTACAGAGTGAAAACAGAATGATCAAATTCGCTTTTATTCAAAAGTCATACTACTTTAAATATTTTGCTGTGGTATTTCACTTCAGTCCTTTGTGTTCAACTTTAGCGATTTTAAACTTATAACTATAGAGCTGATATGGCTTGTGGTAAGTCGTGAGCAGGATTATCAAATGTCCCCATAAGGGAGACAGTCCCATATTTAAAGATTTGTCGACTGCAAAAATATATCACCTTTTCAAGGATATTTTCTTTTGGTCGTCTTCAATGGACTTTTCGCTTTTAAATTACGTATTTAATTATATTACGCGCTTCCGGTTCAACAGACTTTTAGCGTTTAGTAATTTTTCTTATGTGAGATTTCAGATAAGAAAAAGCACTGAACGCAGAATTGAGAACTAGAATAAATACTTTAACGTGCAATAATTCTCATGATTGTGATTATGATCTATGCTTATGAATAACAAAGACATTCCTAACCAGAGTATTTGTGGAAGTGAAAATATGAACACGTTAGTAAAAATAACGTTTGAATTGATCATTTAGTGCTTTTTGTGTGAGAAAAGATAATTGTAGTAAACTTTATGTTGTGACGTAGTGACACGGGAAACTCGATGAACAACAGAAATATTAGATAGAAAAAACAATATATTGATGTTACTTTAATTTTTCGATGATATTGTGCGGCAAATAATGTGTCTTGTTCCTCTTTATAGAAAAGAAATTCCCCTTATGTCCTGGTTTTCCCTTAATTTGTCCCTCTTTATTGCGCTCTTTAGTTGGCATCCCTGGTCATGAGACTTGTAATCATTACATTTTAACAAACATCTGAGTTCAATCCTCGGTATCAGAATGTTAGTTTTTTTATTTTTTATTTCCTTCGAAGGCTACGACCGTCGTAAACTACCATTCGAAATACGATGACGTATTCCTTCCGCAATGATTACTTCGTCGTATTTTGAGGTATACGTCAAAATGCGATGTCATAAACTGTAAACCGTCCATCGTATACTGTAGTTTACCTCCATTTACGACGGACGTAAGCATGGAACTGGGTTTCAATGAAACAACCACTTACATTGATTACCAGATATTTAGGCGCGACATTAGGACACAACGACAGTTGGGCACGTGTATGACACAAGCATTCACTAAGAGTGCATTTGTGAAAAGTATAATGCATAACGATAAGATTTTATTTTAAACAAACTTGGTAGGATATGGGAGCTCTTTCTATATTATTTCACAACTCATATACAACTGTAATCACTGTTTGTTTAATGTTCATCAATCACCCCCACCCTCATCTTTCAAGCCTAGATGTCGTTGCGCCGTAGTGTCGCGCGCCCAAGTGTCGACGTCCTATAGTCGGTATACCACTTACATTGATCGTCGTCAGTGTTCAGCCACTACATGCAGGATTTTGAGGATCAGGTGAATGTAAAAAATACGACAAACGTGGATTCGGTCAGCAGCATCAGTCAGATCAGTTCTTCGAAAAAGTAAGAATTCTTCATTATTTTACTCGGCACCAAGATTAATGTAAGTGGTTGTTTCATTGAAACCACATTCTGGCATTAAGAATACGTACATTTCTAGGTATGTAGTTATATGTTAACATTATTTTTTTCTTAAAGTAAAAAAGAATAGTTCATATTGAATACTCTTTACATAAGTCAAAAATACATGTAACTAATAAATATTTTTTTGATCGAATCACAGATGGATCCTTCTGAGTTCTTTTAATACATCAACTAATATTCAAAAGAGAGAAATTTTCATGCGGTTTCTCATTTCATTTTAATTTAACTACCCATATGAGGTAAATGTATAAGTTTACTTAGAAATAAAGAAGTGAATAATATATTTTTTGTACAATTCATGATAATAATAGTAATAACTACAATGATTAAACATTTTTTTCTATCTTAAGACGAGAAGCGCCTTTAAAACTCATCATAAATCTTATTCGTTATAAACAAATACGAATAGTTCAACTGTTACATTTTCAAGTAAGTTTTCGTCGTCGTGTTAATGTATTAGATTAAAAACTATGGATGATTCACAGTTTGGATATTTTTAATGCTTATTGCATTTTTCATAAGGTATCGAAAATGAGTTCCTCCTCAGATGTAAATTTAATGAAAGCACATGGTTCAATAATGATCATGAGTTGGATCGGTTTAGCGTCAACGGGTATTATCATGGCACGTTATTTTCGTCAGACAACGGAACGAAATGTTTGTGGAGAAAAATTATGGTTTGCATTTCATCGTTTTCTTATGACATTGGTAGTATTTTTAGTTTTATTAGCATTTTTATTTATTCTTGTATTACTTAAAGGCACATGGGTTGATTGGATGACGCAGGGTCCACGCCCGTTTGCTCATTCGATCATGAGAATATTTATCGTTATTTTTACTGTTATTCAACCATTCATGGCTTTATATCGTTGTCATCCTGATGCTCAATATCGTTTTATTTATAATTATTTTCATCGTTTTGTAGGACTAACCGCTCTTCTTTTATCTGTACCAAACTTATTTTTAGGTATTTATTTTGTCAGTAATCAGTTAACAGGACAAATCGTGTTGATGTCAATTTGGACATTTTCAGTGGTATTTATTTTTATTGCATTCGAGTCTATTGAATTGTATTTTAGAAAACGTTCAATCAAGAAAAATTCGTTAGAAGATTCAACAGCGATGACAAAAGCAATCAGCCCTTTAAAAGAGAAAGTCAAGCGTTATCTTCTTGTATATCATGTTTGCATATCGCTTACAATAGCAGTCATACTCATCATTCTAATCAATTATATATGACATTCATTACTAAAACACAATTTGAAGTGAAGCATAGCACTATGACTGGATAAATGATATTCGTATGTAAAGACTTTTCAAGCGAAAATCACCTATGGGAAACATCTAGATACATTTCGTCTGTAATTGGGCGGTGGATGATTGGTTCTCATCTAGAGTACTACTTGAAATAGGGACTTTTAACTAGATGCATCTGCATGTGCAACTATCATTAGTTAAATCGATCTTTTATTCGGACAATAAATAGATAGTTACAACTGAGAAGAAATTGAGAAAACGTCCAGTTACTAGATTTTCATTATTTTTACCGAATAATTGCAATTTAGTAGTCTAAAATTGTTAAAAACTTTCTAACTATCTACGTATCCGTTCTGTGAAACCCTATCTCTAAGTACTTGACACGATCGGAACTAAGACTATAAGCCTCTGGCAAACTTATTTCGAGGACTCATTTCTTGAGAAGCTACGCGATGTCGATACACCGACATTTCCGCGAACGGCATTACCGCGAAGACTTGTTTATTAGAAAAGAAGAATACATGAGCCAGGTTTTATATTTTGTACATCATGTTTTGAAATCTGAGTGAAGTTATGTGGTTAATAGTCATTATGTGATACACAGTTTCACATTATCAAAATATGTTTTGTGTGAAACTACTTTTCGAACTCACTCTTACACCACCAACACCCCTAGCTTCCGCCACACACCGCCAAAAATATTCAAATGTGTACTATGAAAAATTCGTGGAAGAATCGAGATCCTGTTCGTGATAATGTTGTGTCTGCACTGCTATTTATATTCAAATCAATGCTGATAAACGTCGAGCTTCAGTTTATTTTGTACCGTAGAGAAAACCGGTTAAACACGATAAGCAATGAAAGTGGATATCTGTAAGTGTATCACATAATGACCATTAATCACATAACTTCACTCAGGTTTCAAAACATGATGTACAAAATAAAAGGTTGTAATGACCTCGATTGTGGCATGTACAAGCCTATACCATTGAAACATATATTTTTAAGATAATATTCGCCGCTTTAGTTCCCCCCACGCTCGGGCCCACGCTGAAATTAGTTCCCCCCACGCCCGGGCCCACGCTGAAATCTAACATAATCATCATGTTTGATTAAGAACGAAAAAAGGATCTTAGTATCTTAGAAGGACGACATTTTTGACGATTCATAACTGTTATATTATAACATGTTAAAAGTGCGAGTAAAATTGGTCGCCATCACCAGAGCAGCTTAAAAAAATACTTATAATCTACATATTTCTCTCTGGTGTATTTTGTGGCACACACACACACATACACATGTCTGCGAACAAAAACATCTGTTTACAAAAGTACATATAAAATACAACCGATGATATTCCCTTTTTCGCAGTTCATTTTCATTTCATCTACAACTACTAAAATATCAATTCCACTTTATGTGTTTCCAGAAGGTTATTTCAGTAAAAATGTGAAGAGAAGGAAAAAAAGAAAAAGAAGAAATAGTAACGTTGTTTTTCTTTCTGTTTCTTCAGTGCTCATAGATATATAAGTGTTTTAAACAATTTCTTCTATAGGTAGATTTTATAATTTATTATATGTTCTGATGATGAATAAATTTTATTCGAAAACTTTGAAATAAATGTATAAATGATGAGTAGTTCAGCTCCAATAATACGTGATTTATTATTAAAATATCAGTTTAAAACATCCCTTTTTGAGACTTCAAAAATCAGTCAAAGTTTAAAAGAAATGTAAATTTGAAATAACTAACATCTTATGGCCTTTTTTTTTTACCATCAGTTTCCTGTCAAATACCGGAGTAAAAGAAATTACGTTATTTAACAAATAAAAAAAAAGAAATTATATGCATTTATGAATTACATATACGATTCGTGTGTACTACTATTAAAACACTTTAAGTAAAAATTCTACAGTGTCTTGCCAAAAATGTTTAAAAGAACGAAGAAGAGAGGCAAAAAAAACATACAAAAAGCAGTTAAATTTCAGCATGCATTACAAACACAGTACGGATTGAATAGAACGAAACAGAGAAAAGAAAAATAATAATGGTTCCATCATACATAACAACAACTACATGCTGAAGTGATATTAAAATTAAGTTTCATTTGATTTGAATAATATCCAAACCGAAAATCAAGAAAAAAGACAATCTCAGATTAGTTAAGCCTAAATGGTAAGATGATTTATAGTATATTTTATTGTTCTTCGTTTTCTAAATATAATAATAATAATGTGTACACATGTAAATATTCCGATCGAATGTTTATTCACATTTTTTGTACAATCAAAAAAATGGTTTACTTCAATGTAAGTTAAGAAAAAATCTTATGTGCTCTACACGTGCCATAAACTCCATATTGTAATTAGCGGTCTTTGTAGTCGATTTTCAAAATTGTGATATAATATTTTTACTCTTTAAATTCGTCGAGGATTATTGAAATGAATTGATTGTATGAATCATGTACTCACTAGACATGCACCAGTTAAAAACTGATATTAGGACTTCCACAAAATTGTTATAAGTCGCCTATAAAGAATTAGTCAGAGCCGAGGAACGTCTCATTTTGTAAAGAAATGTTTGGATCACAACCGGGCATTTTTCTATAGAGCAGGCGGACATATGCTGTAGGAGTGGTATGAAAGCCTATAAACACGTTCTTCTATAGGTTTTCGAATATGCTCTTTCTAATGATGAGATTTTCAGTACTCAAAAGTAATTCCTTGTGGGTTTTCTGGAGATCGGATCTCTGGAAAACTCATAAAAAATACTTTTACATTTCGAGAACCTCACTATTCGAAAGATAATACTCGAAAACCTATAAAAAATGTGTTTATAGACTTGTGTACTATTGCTAAAATAAATATCCAAATTCCTAAGCAAAATTTGCTGCGGACAAGCTTTCAAGTCTATAATTCAATTTGATCGAAAATATTTTTGCAGAAAAATTAAAAAAGCTATACATCATTCGATGCAGTTTTTCATGGTGATTCCGAATATGACCTTACTTTCAAGAAAAAGTGCTTTTTCGGCGGAGAAAACTGCGAAATACTCGGTTTTTGGAAGGCCTGTAACTCAGCACCCCTAGAGTTGGGAGACTTTGTGATCAGTATATGTAGAGAAGGTTGAGACGAACATTTCGAGCTATTTTTGATATCAATAGCTGCTCAGCGGAGTTTAGCGATTGCATTTTTACGAAGATGTCTTTTTTTTAGATGCGTTCTGTGGAAAGATTTTCACGCGTTCCCCGAAATTTAACTTTGTCCGACGAAAATTTTCTTACGGCTAGATAGCCCAACAGATGGCGATTCTATATATGTCATTGTTTTTGAAAAAAACTTCTAATTTGACGGAGAAAATGCAATTTTACGCGCCAGCATACTAATTCTACTGATAATTTTGTAATTTAATTTTCTCAACTTTGGAAGAATCTAGAAGCCAAAAACTTTTCACCGTTAAATAGGGCATTATTTATAGTATATATGTCATCATTCAAAATATAAAAATTCGAATCTACGATTTTTCTCCAAAATGCCGTCTAAATGCCCACTGTGATAAGTAGAAAAATTCCAATATTATTTGTAATACACATATGAGCATTCTAAAAGCCCTGAATACAACAAAAAGCCTGTTCGAACAGGTTTTTTTGGGTATTGTTAAAAGACACAAACACCCGCAAATTAAAATCTGAGTTAGCCAATCGATAGAGCTCGTGAAAGGGTTAGAACACCCAACAAAGTGTGCCAAACTCACCTCTAGCCCTTGTTCTGAATCTACTGGTAGGCTGAGGATGATGTGTGAGGGTGAGGTGCTGGTAGGCTCACAATAGCCCGGAGATGAATTTTCCTACTTTTTTGGGTTTTTTTACCCTTTCTTCTGAGTGTTCGTGGAAGTTTAGGTCTTTTAGCAATACCCGGGTTTTTTTCTAACTTTAGTGCATTTTAGAATGCACACATTTTTACAAGAAATAACTTCAAATTTATTTTCACAGTTGAGTTGTCAAGAGAAAACGTTTCTCTACAAGATGAGAGATTCCGCGACTCTAAGTCATTCTTTATCGACTACTTATAACAATTTTCGTGGAACCTCTAACATCAGTTTTTAACTGCTACATTACTCATTTTAACACAATCATCTTGATGAGTCTTTTTCTTTTTTATATTTTAGCTTTATTATGTCTCATGGCGTCGTGTATTATTTACCTTCTTTTTAATAACAACATTATTGATACTCTTTATCACTAATAAACATTATTCTATACAATCGACAATTGAATTAATACCCGCATCAAAGTTAAAAAGAATACCGTTTGATACTCATTCTGATTTACCATCATTCATGGTCAATATGTCTAGCGATGTCTTCCTCAAAACTACGTTATGTGGTGGACTAATATCCAATTCTTCGAACATAAAACTATCGGATATCTCTAAAACAGAAAAACTACTTCGTGAAAAATATAAAAATATATGTAATCTAAACTATATAAACATGTCATGTTCCAAACTAATCAATTTACAAGCATTTCATACTCAAAAACTTCGCAAATTCGAATTAAAACATCCTCATGCATTTACTATTCTATTACAGAAAAATCTCTATCAATTTCAAGTATTATTTCGAATACTCTATTCCAAACAGAACTATTATTGTATTCATGTTGATTTAGAAGCATCCGATTGTTTAGTTCAATATGCTACAAAACTATCGCAATGTCTTAAAAATGTTTTTGTATCACTCAAACGTTTTAATGTGACTTTACAGAGAAGATTTTCCATCTTACAAGCTGAACTTACGTGTCAGATACATTTATTAAAAAAATCTGATAAATGGAAATATTATATGATTTTATCCGGTCAAGATTTACCTATTCAAACGGGTTACACTCGCACACAAATACTCTCTCTTTTAAATAACTCAAATTCTGTTCAATCGATCGAAGAAATTCATCAATCTGACACAAAAAAATCTTTAAAAAGTTTTACCGTTTACAAAGGATCATTTCATTCAATCTTAACACGATCATTTCTTGAATCTATTCATAAAAGTGAAACAGCATACAATATACTCAAACATCTACGAGATGCACAATTATCACATGAATATTTTTATCCGGCTTTAAATCGTCATCAAGAATTTCCGGGTACTGGTCAACTTACGGAACACCTATTATCGCACTATGTTCAGTATAAATCACAAAAAGGAATATTTCATTTAACATGGGAAGATTTGCCATTAATAGAGCAAAGCAAACGACTATTTGCAGGTGAATTTGATCAACAATTTGATTCTGTAGCAATTGATTGCCTAGAACAATGGTTAAAAGTAAAAGCATTAAATCCAGTCAAAATTAACATCAAAGATTATAAACTGTACATTAAAAGAATAAAGATACGACAACAGTTGAATAGAATAACGTGATAAGTACAATATTAAGTTTGTATACAAACGCAGTAAGCTGAAAAATGTGACAGAATTAACTAGAAATGTATTTGTTTAGTAGTGTGGAAGTCACTGACATTCCTTCCTCTTCCTCTTTTCTGTTCTGATGGCTACCAAGAATGTTCTTTCTTCATCTATTCTCATTTCTTAAGACTACAAAGAATGTTGACTCAGTTCCTGTTGAGTCAACATTCTTTCATCATATATATATTTATATATATTGGTTGTTTGCACACACCAGAGGAGAATACTTATTTTGATACTTGTGAGTTTGTTCTTATGAATAAAATCTGTGGAGGCTAGCAGTATTGTACATGATTTTCGATACATTTCTGAGCTATTAAATATGCACTTTCACCTGAATATCATAAGCTTTTTAAGGGTACCCTTCCCTCATTTTGGGCTTTCTGTAGAAATGCTGTAAAATAATACTTAAAGCTCAATAAGGCTTCATATTTTCAGAACTGATTGGAAACTTAATGAAGCACTTTTCGTTTCTGTTTCAAGTTTCTAACCGTTGTCGTTCATCAGTTTTCTAGAAAACTAGATTTTCCATTGAATCACATTACGACCACCCTTAAATTTCATCCGATCGAGTTAAAAATTGTAACTGAGGTGTTCTAGGTCACAGCGCAGAGGTATAATTTTGGAATTTTATTTCAGACCTTTCTTTACTTAGTTATAGGTCTTGTAAAACTTAAAAACTTCATTTCTGAAAGTTTTTGGATATATTTCCTATAACTTGGTAAAGAAAACTCTAAAAAAAAACTCCAAAATTATACCTGTCTATTATTAAATGAAGCTCAGCATCGACGCATTTGTCAGAAAAATTCTTTCAATATTCGAACTTCAAATAGAAATATTAGAAAAAGTTGTTTAAAAGTTGAAATTTCCTAAATATCACGGCTATTGCGCATGGTAGAAACTTCATTCTTTTTCCGTCCGATTCCCAAGAATGTATTACATAATAAGGAGTGATCACATTATTTAATTTACCTACTGTTAATTCAAAATATGGATTAGACTATGACTAGGATATGGTCAAAATTAACTAGAATTTTAGTTTATAAAGGAGGAGGGTCGATAAGGCCATTTTCCAACCCCAGATAGCAATCTTTGTTTCCGAGGACACATCTATCTCCTTCCCGACTGGAAATCTCAGAAACATGTGAATCATAGGTAATCGAGCACGCTGATTACCCTGGCAATCTTTGTTTCAATATGGAAACGAAAATAAGGTCGGAAAATAAAATATTTTGAAAATTCGCTTTTTAGC